TTCCCGCGTTGCTTTGGCGCCGCCTCCCAGCGAGGCGCTAGCTCAGTGAGCAGCGGGGCCGCGGCGCCTGCCCCCAGCCGCGGACCGCCCCCTCCTGCCTTTCTGGTCCCGCCCTTCTCCCAAGTCCATTGGACAGCTGTGAGGGGGAGACGCTCCCATTGGCCACTCGCTCCGTCCGTCTTCTCGCCTCCGCAGGCCGCGGGGGGTTCGGTGGAGCCTGAGGATGAGGGGAGCCTTCGCTGTCGGCTGCAAGATCTCGGGAGGGGGCCGGCGTGCGGAGGCTAGGGGACCGGGAAGGCGGAATTAGGCGCGATGACTCATCCTCGCCGCGCTTCCTTCCGACCTCCGGCGCTGTCACCCTGGCGCAGGGGGCGTGAGAAACCCTCCCCGCAGGGAGTGGGCTGGCGGAGGGCGCGGGCGCTTCTCGCCCACTGCTTGAGTTCGGCTTCCAGCTCCGGCTCCTGCGCGCATCCGCCGCGGGCGAGCGCTGCGCGCGATGGACCCCTTCTCCATCCGCTGCTGCAGCCTCAGCTGGCCCGCAACAGGCCCAGTTTTTTTCTCCCGTTGGGCTTTTCTCTTCCTAGAAGCCGCTGAACCCTGGAGTTTGACGGCGCCCAGCAAGAGTGTCTTAGCTTCTTTCCAGTTCCTCGTCTCCAACGGGGGATTAATGATGTTCATTTCCTACTGTTGCGAGACTTGACAGGGTATCCATGGCAAGGCTCAGCATTAGGCGCAATCTCTGCCCGCTTCGCCGCACGCTTCCAATTCGGCCTCGGCCCAAAGGCCTCTACGCCACGGTGTGAACGTGCCTCGGCCCTCTCGACCCTCCCCGCCCCCCAAATCCCTCTCACCGCACTCTGCACCCTGACTGAGCATTCTCCAGGCCAGAGGGAGCTGGGGTTCAGTTGACAGAGGAATGGTTTGTTTCTGGGTGCCCATAGTTTAGTGACTAGCTCTGTATATTAATCACTGCGTGACCGAGGCGCCTCAGCGTTTGACTCCAAACAGCATAATTCGGTGCCACGTGCCCTGAGCGTCTAACGCAGCCTCCAGCACGGTGGGTTCTTCGTTTCCTCCATTCAGGGGTGTGTTGAGGTGTGTGTGATGGGAGGTAGGGTGGGGATGTGAGTGAGTCCAGTGTTAATCTCCATTTACTAAGTAGATTTATTCTCCCCTTTCCCTAGACATGGACAGAGAGGATGGGTCCTGCTCTTTGCCTACAGTGCTGTTGATTTGATGGTGGGAAAAGAAAGCAATAGAAGAAAGAAGGAAAAGAAAGATCCCGAGTCTACTGACATTCTGAGGTAGTCACTTATTTGAAATATAGTTATATGCGTGGCTGAGCTGCTGTGATTCATGAAATAAATAACAAAAATTCTTTCCAACTTGTAAGACATCTTCTAGTTTTCTTTTTTATAATTATTTATTTCACTTTATTTATTTATTATCGTTCTTCAGCTTGACCAGAAAGAGGGGGGCGGGGGGAGAGGGAGAGTGAGAAATCAAGATGCCAGGTCTGGGAGTCGAATCATGGTTATTAGCCATGTGGAAATCTAGTGCCTTAACAACCTCGCCACCTGCCTGCCCCAGAAATCTTCTAGTTTTCTATGTTCCAGAAAAGAGAGAACTTGATTATATGCAGCTACATTTGTCATTTAAAAAACACTTTATTGTGCAGAAAAAAAGGAAAAACACCAGACTTTTAGATAACCCTGCCCTCAAAGAAATAATCCAATAGATTAGGTTATTTTTCTAATGTGTTTTTCAGTTACAGTGAAAACAATAGTTGATCTCCTGTGGGAGAAAAAGTCCTCATTGTTATTTAAATCTATATTAACCATAAGTGTTTTGTTAAAATAGATTTATTTTTTAAATAAATAACCTGGCTTTTGACTAGTTGAGGCCAAAGCATCCAAAGGTATATGTATTCTGTTTACAGGCACAGAATTTCTTTAAATATAGTTGGAATGTTATCTGTACTTGCAGGATGTATTTAATTTATGGGTCCCAAAAGAATTTGATTATATCAAGTAGTTAATTACTGAGAAACTGTTAGAAAGGGGTGTCAGTACCACTTTTATTTTTTTAAGAGAGATTTTTGCCACAGGGCGCATTCACTCAGCGAAGAGAGAGACAGACAGATACAGTGAGAGGGAAAGTGAGAAGTCACCCTGCAGGGAGATGGCCATGCTGCAATCCCTTCTCCAGTCTCCTCCTGGGATCTTCGGCATGCATGCACATGCACCAAGAATAAATTTCAAGTCACTGGGTCTGGGACTCAAACCATGGTTGGGCATGTGAGAGTCCCGCCGTGTAACTACTACATCATCTGCTGGCCCAGTTCCATTCTTAAGATAGAATCCTTTCCTAGCTTTTGGACTTAAGGTATATTAGGAAACAGCAGAAAAACCATGCTTCTAGAACACCTTGGATGTATGAACTCTGAACGAACGACTGTAGGGAAAATGGCAAAAATGCCTAACCTCTTGCCTTCCTCCTCGAAAATGACAGAAGGTCTTTAGGTGGGTGTGTGATCTGATGAATGTGTTCCTGAAATTCCAGGGTGTGTTGTCCAGCCTCTGGCATCATTTAGCTATACCCTCCTTTATCGATATTGAAACCACTCTGTTGTACGAATTACCCTTTATCTTTCTAATCTCCTAAGAAGCAACTTTCTCTAAAATTCTTTCCTTCCTCTTTGCCTCAATGAATATGGAGGACAAGAGAAGCTTAGCAGGCACATCCCTGGTATGGCCTCTCCCTCTCTCTCTTGACTCAGATCTGTGTGTGTCGAATAGTACTTCCATGTGTGCTTCTGGCGACTCTGTTGGACAGAAGAGTCACAAAGATATGCATTTGGATTTAAGTCACAGTAGCGTTTAGCCAGTGAGGTAAGCAGCTGTTGCTCTTTTCATGAGCTTAAACTTTGCTTATCATGGTATACCATTTAAGAGGTCTGCTTATTAACACATACTGTATGCTTAGTTCAAAATTAGAGTCCCTAAGATTCTATTGATGGTGTAATACAGTGTTGTATTCACAAAGAGTCTCAATACAATACAGATTTTAATACAGTCAACATGCAGGGCCAGTCTGTGGCTTGGTAGTTAAGGCAGCTGTATCCCACATGGCTGACCTAGTGGTTCAAGTCCTGAACCCAGAGGCTTGAGAAAAATGACTACTGAGTGTGTGAACCCAAAATTCCAAAAGGGGAGAGAAATCAAGAGGGGATTATAATATGACCATACCCTCTGGGGGATGCTTTCTTACTTTCCCTTTCTGTCTCTCTCCAGTGAATGCATGCTACTGTTGTGGGCCATTCAGTGAGAGAGACAGGACACCGAGGCTTTAGCAGGAAAACAGCTGTTGATTTATGTGCTAGCATTGGCTCAGCAGATTCACATACAAAGATTGAGCCCCGAATTCTTTGGGGTTCCCCCTTGTGTTTGTTTTAGCTTCGTCTCCCATGTATGGTTATATTATACTTTTTTTTTTTTTGGAGAGGTTTTTGCTATAGGGCGCGTGCGCTCGCCAGACAGACAGAGAGAGACAGAGAGATAGAAAGCGAGAAATCACCCCCCAGAGGGGATGAGCATGCCACAATCCCTTCTCCTCCATTCTCCTCTCGGGATCTTGGGCACGCACGCACACGCACCCGGCGTGAGTTCAAGCCACTGGGTCTGGGACTCGAACCGCGGTCGACTACGTGGGAGTCCAGCGACATAGCCATTACGCTAACTGCTGGTCCCCATTATATTATACTTTTACATTACATTTGATTGGGTAAAGGAGTATTACAGAATTACACAGGCATGTACTGAGCTACAGGGCTGTTAGATATGAAGATGTACGTAAAGTTACAGAGTTCCTAGGTTGCTATCCGGGCTACAAGGTGACTAAGAATTGCTAAGCTGCTGTGGGGACAGAGCTACAAGGTCACCACAGCCTGTAGTGCATTTTTAAGTTTTAAGCATGTCCATTATCTTCCTTGGTTCTGGCGGTCCCCCAGCCATGCTACCTCTGGTAAATTTGAAATAAATAAAAAAGATCTGATCAGCTGTGAAGTATCTAGAGATGATTTAATTGTTAGAACTTTTGGTCAGGAATTAGTTCAATCAATAAATCCTAAGAGAGCTCCTGAAATCTATTGAGAGTTTACCCTGTTCCAGACAGTGGATTTCTTTATATGTAATATTTGAATGTTCTTTGTAATAACAAAAAGAGGCAGGTGCAGTTATCCCCATTTTATAGACGAGTAAACTGAGGATATACAAAGCCATGATAGTAAGTACTCAAGGTCAAATTTTTTTTTTTTTTTGGAGAGGTTTTTGCTACAGGGCACGTGCACTTGCCAGACAGACAGAGAGAGACAGAGAGACAGAAAGCGAGAAATCACCCCCCAGGGGGGATGGCCACACCGCAATCCCTTCTCCTCCATTCTCCTCTTGGGATCTTGGGCATGCACGCACACGCACCCAGCGTGAGTTTAAGCCACCGAGTCCGGGACGTGAACCGCAGTCGACTATGTGGGAGTCCAGCAACATAGCCATTATGCTAACTGCTGGCCCCCAAGGTCAAATATTGATGAGGCTGGATTAGCCTAGGCACACATAAATGTGTTCCTTTGTCCATTCATTCAAGAAACGCTGAGTTCTACGCTCTGTCAGGATCTGTGTATGATAAATACCCGAAATACTCTTTGTTGATTTCTATGAATTCTGCTTACTTTCCCTAAATGTTTGTTATTTTTCTTTTCTTTCTTTTTATTTAAAAAATCCATTTATTTCTGTCTTGGCACATGAAAGTCTAGCTACTTGCTATTTCAAAGAAGCTGGTTTGTGGACTCTAATAACAAACAGATTTGTTATTTTCCTTGAATTCATTTCTCTAAAA